CTCCAGCACCTTCCCCCCCCCCACCCCAGCCCCGTGGCCCAGCTGGGAGATCTTTGGGAAATGGGTGGGTTTGCGCTATCTGTGCCTTTCTCCCCTGGGATCAGCCTCAGTGCCCACTGAAGGCCCCCCCCACAGCCCCAGGAAGCCCAGCTCTTCACTGTGGGCACGTGGCCAGTGTCTGCTAAGCCCTGACATCAAAAGCAGAAGAACTCTCCAAAATGTATGCGGCAAACCATTCTCCGAGAAGTCTTAGATTCTGTCCGAAGTGGAAAAAGGGAAAGGGAAGGAGGTACTGGGATCACTCCAAAGGTCAAGGCCAAGGAAAGCAAAGCAACCACCCCCCAGGCCTCTGACCTTGACCTGTACCATCATTTCAACCCCTCACCTCTGACCTTGACCTGCATCATCATTTCAAAACCCCAGCATCTGACCTTGACCTGCATTATCATTTCAACCCCTCACCTCTGACCTTGACCTGCACCATCATTTCAACCCCTCACCTCTGACCTTAACCTACACCATCATATCAACTCCTCAGCTCTGACCTTAACCTACACCATCATTTCAACCCCTCACCTCTGACCTTAACCTACACCATCATTTCAACCCCTCACCTCTGACCTTGACCTGCACCATCACTTCAACCCCTCACCTCTGACCTTGACCTGCACCACCATTTCAAGCCCCCTGGGGGTCTCCAGGTGACCACCTCTGAGTATTCATTCCTGACCACCTCTCATGCCCTGGGCTTCTTCCCAGCAGTGTGGACACCTTTGAGTGTACCCTTTCCCCTCCCTGAGGGTCCAATCGTGTAGCTTAGAGCCTTCCCTTCTCAGAGCAGAGCCTCCACTCCAAAGCCTCTGCTTCAGCCGTGTCTTCCTCAAGACACAGCCACCCCTCACCCCCATGCTTGTGCTCTCTCCCAAGTGTGACATGGATGGATGTTCTCCATCCTCAGTTCTCTGGCCAGTCCCTGCCCCTTCCTCTCCCCGCCTTGACTTCCACCCTCTATCCCTCACGTCCCTCCAGGAAGCTAGACCATAGCTTCCTCCGCACTAGCCAGATACATGCACCCAGGGCATGAAAAACAGCCTTCCCCCAACCCGGACAGCCCCCCAACTCTTCAGGACCCTAGCCTTCTTCCAGCTCAACAGCCAGTTCCAGACCAGCTGCAAGCTTTAGAGATAGATTGGTTTTCCTGATGAAATTCACTAGCTATTTACCAAAGCCCCTTCCAGTATAGACATATCAGGAAAGAAAGGAAGGAAGAAAGAAAGAGTGGAAGGAGGGAGAGAGGGAGGGAAGGAAAGAAGGAAGGAGAAAGGAAGGAAGGGAGGGAGGAAGGAAGGAAGGAAGGAAGGAAGGAAGGAAGGAAGGAAGGAAGGCCTTTTAAGGTCAGGGCAGCAAATATAATTCCACTTGGAAGCTTAAAGACAAGGCTATCGACTTCCATTCTTGGGGGCACAGGATTTCCTTGTGGGTTATTTCATTCAGTCATTCACATTGGGACAGGCACATTGCTAGTCTCTGAGAATACTGGTTACAGTATTCTCAGGGGTCAGGGCCTAGCCAGTCCCTACCTGGCAGCGCCCACATGTCCAGGGCCACCCTTTGCCCTTCCCATGATGGACCACTCTATTCAGGAAATGCAGGTCATGGTCTGGATGGAATGAGGGGGAGCTCTTTTAGCAGCGACCCCTTCCCATCCAGCCTGGCCAGTACCACCTGCTGGCTTCCACCCCAGGGCCTCAGAAGCTGCCCCCACCCCAACCTAGACAGCCCCAGACCTTCTCTTCAGCCTCAGGGCCAAAAACTCAAGTGCTGCTCTGGTCAGTCTCTGGAGACTTCAGTGTGTCGTGTGTGTATGTGTGTGTGTGTATTTGGAAAATATGGGTTTTTTTCTTTTTCTCCAGTCTGTACTAAGGGTGGCAAGGCCTCCACATGGAGACTGTGTGTCTTTGTAGACTTTCCCTAAACTCTCCCCAGTCATCGCAGGAGTTTCTGAAGCCCCCTGGACTCTGACGCCAGCCCATCCACTTCACTCACCCAGATGTATCCGCTCAGTGAGGATGGACGCGGCCTGGGCATCCTCCACGCCCCCACTGTCTGTAAATGTCATGCTGGAACGTGCTGCCATGTCAGCCACCCCGCAGCTCCTGGCTGTCTGGGTTTTGAAATTGTCTCTAGAGGGCCAGGGGCGGGGGTTCATTGGGCACAATTCCAACTGTCTAGAATAAAGATCATGGGGCAGCAGGGGGAAAAGAAAATGGAAAGGCATTTAGGGAAGAGTCTATAAAGAGCAATAAAATAAACGGTCCAAGGGGAAGTCACGAGGCTGTGATGTGATATTCTTCTCAGAAACATCCCCCCCCATGAGACAGGCCACCCACAGGCCCCTCCTGATCCTGGGGACCCCACTGCTCTGGGCACAGGGAGCTTTCCACTCAGTGTCTAGGTACAAGTTCCCGGCTCCCAACAAGGACATCTCAAAAGATCTGGAGCCCACACACACTCAGGGGCTGCCATGTGTTGTACATGGCCACCGCTCAAGGTCAAGATTGACCTCCACACTCAATGGGGCAGCTTCCAATAGGGCACCATCTAGAAGCAGGCCGGAGAGGAGCATTTGATGATGGATAGGAAAAATGCCTGCAGGGGAACCAGGAAGCCTTTGGTAGCTCCTGCCTGTCATCCTAGCTACTCAGTCAGCCAGTTCAGGCAAGAAAGTCCAGGAGACTCGTCTCCAAGGAACCACCAAAAAGCCAGAAGTGGAGCTGTGACTCAAATGGTAGGACACCAGCCTTGAGTGAAAAAGCTAAGGAACATCACCCAGGCCCTGACTGGCACAAACACAAGGGGGAGGGTGGGAACGCCAAACAAGGATGTGATTTCAAGCGGCACCAGGTGAAACCTAGGAATTGCTCTTCTTGGAGGCAGAGCCTCCACACACCGGCATCAGTCATTAGCTCGCAGGCCTTAAGCACTCTGAATGGACACTGTAAGTAGCCCACACAGAACATGTAAGGAAGGTTGAGGGACTGAGTGGCTCAGGTCATTAAAGCATTAGCCTAGCAAACACAAGGCCCTGGGTTCAAACCTCAGTACTGCAAAAAAAAAAAAAATTCAGATGCCAGTGGTTTATTCCAAAAAGCTGTACTGGAGGCCTGGCTCAAAACAGTAGAATGCCAACACGGAGTGAAAAACAAAGCTGAACACAAAGCTCTGCTCTGAGTTCAAATTCCAATACAGTACACACACAAAAAAATTCCATCAGGACAACAGTGGAAATTCAAACAATAGATCCTGGCTGGGCGCTGGTGGATCACACCTGTAATCTTAGCTACTCAGGAGGCTGAGATCGGAAGATCATGTTCAAAGCCAGCCTGGGCATGAAAGTTCGTGAGACTTTTATCTCCAATTAACTACCAGAAAACCAGAAATGGTGTTGAGGCTCAAGTGGTAGAGTACTCACCTTGGGTTGAAGAGCTGAGGGACAGCACCCAGGCCCATAGTTCAAGCCCCACAGTGCTCTCTCTCTCTCTCTCTCTCTCTCTCTCACACACACACAAACACACACACACACACACACACAGCCAGCAATCCTTGCTAGGCACCAGTAGCCTAAGAGGAGGCTAAGATCTGAGGATCACAGTTCAAAACCAGCCTGGTCAGGAAAGTCCCTGAGGCTCTGATACAGCACTAGCCTTGACCTGAGGAGCTCAGGGACAGCACCCCAGCCCAGAGTTCAAACTCCACAACTCACACACACACACACACACACACACACACACACACACATACACGCATGCACGCATGCACACAAAGCTGGCAATCAAGTCAGAGGCATGCTGGAGAGTAGGGAGGTAGACTAACTGAAGAGGCCCTGATACTCTTTTTTGGGGAAGTGGGGGAAGGGACAGTTGTAGGCACTCTTATCACTTGAGCCACATCCGCCAGCCCTTTTTTGTTTTACTTTCTAGGTAGGGTCTCAAGTTTTTAACCTGGGATCAGCCTCAGATCAAGATACTTCTGCCTATGCCTCCTGTATAGCTGGGATTGTAGGCACTTGCCACCATGTCAGGTTTTTGGTTTTTTGTTTTTTTCCCCTCCGTCATGGGGCCTGAACTCTGGGCCTGGGCGCTGTCCCTCAGCTCTTCAGCTCAAAGGTACTGCTCTATCACTTGAGCCACAGGGCCACTTCCAGCTTTTTCTGCTTATGTGGTGCTAAGGAATCAAACCCAGGGCCTCATGCAAGCACTCTACCATTGGGCCACCTTCCCAGCCCCCCATGTCTGGTTTAGAGGTTGAGATAGATCTCCTACTTTTCTCTTGGCTGGCTTTGAACTTGACACCTGATTTTCACATGCTGATTGGCTGGGATTACAGGTATGAGCCAGTATGCCCTACCTGATACTTTTCCTAAATGGAAAAATGAATGAGGCACATAAAAGTGGAACATCTCACACACACACACACTTCTTTCCTGCTGGAATGTGATCACCAGTGGCCTTATATTCATCTGGGTTAGGATGGGTAGCTACTGAATGAATTTGGGAATGGATGGTTGAAAGGAGGGGCCTCCAGTTGCATGGAAGCACAAGAGTGTATGGGACAGGTGTGGAAAATGGTGACCACAGAGAATGGCTAAAACCTTAGTAGGGAGGGCTCAGGGAACAGGATTTCAAATACATAGTTTTGGGGCAGGAGGTCTGCTGAGCAATTTGATCTAAAGGAAATGAAAAGGCCTTCAAACCCACTCAGAATCCAGCCCCTGGACTTTGTCAAGCCTCCCACCCAGCTCCCAAATGCACGGGAAGATTTCTAGCAAGTTCCCCCATCTGCCTCAAGTCCA